CCACTATGTGCTAAGGCTAAAGGGAATGTAGTGAGTGCGCGGCGCCGGAGGTGAGGCATTTATTTAGTAAGCATTAGCGCGCTCAAGTGGGCACGTACATTCGCAGCCTGAGTCCTGACTCATATGAGTATTCAATGTGCTCGCTAACAGCAACAGTTGGCTGTTTTGAATGAGACGACCCGGTTACTGTGAACGGGGAGCGCTTTATGCGCGAGCAGCACCGGGGACAGTGTCTGTTAAGAGTGAGCGCTCATGAGCAGGCACGTGATTTACACACATAAAAATACGTACTACTTTTTTTTCTTCGTCATTTTCTTTGCTTTATTGGCGGTAGTCCAGTGTTCCCCTTTGTGTTTGGCGGTTTCGCCGGGTTCCGCAAGGAAGTTAGAGAAAATAGAGGAGTCAAAGGTTATATGACGCCATAGACGGGCGACGAAACGGAAATAAAGAAACGTCCCGTGTCTTCGAATTAAACTATAAATTTCTCCGTATTTGAAAGTTGGTGGAAACTGTCGGGATAATGTAAGTACACATCTAATAGAAATTTATAACATAGATACAGTTATTTTTGCTATTTTTAAAGCAGAAAAAATACATATTGTGGCTTTAATTTGGTGCTGCTAGGATGTACAGTGCCCTCCACAATTATTGGCACCCCTGTTTAAGATGTGGTTGAGGACTTTTAAAAATTCTCCCTTTTTTTTAAACAACATAGAACCCAAATGCAAAAAAAGAGAAAAATCCAACCTTTTATTCAAGTACATTACTTTGGTGGTAAAAAAAAATGTAAAAATTTAGAAAAATAAAAACTTCAAATCCTGTGTCCCACAATTATTGGCACCCCTAACAATTCCGCTGAAAAATGTAATTGATTTTTAAAAAAATATATATTTTCTGTAGTTGCTAATGTTGGTCAGGATATCTAGGAACTTTTAATTAGTAATTCATGACTTCCTATTTCCCTGGGGTATAAATATGACATGACACAGAGGCCTAATTCTCTTACCCATTTGTCAACATGGCAAAGACAAGAGAACACACCATTCAAGTAAGGCAGATGTGTGATGACCTTTATAAGTCAGGCAATGGCTACAAGAAAATAGCCACTCACCTTATATTGCCCATATCTAAAGTTAGAGGAATCATTAAGAAGTTTAAAACAACAGGAACAGTGACAAACAAGGCTGAAAGAGGTCCCAAGTTTATCTTGCCACAACGCACTGTGAGGAGGATGCTAAGAAAAGTAAAAAAAAGTCCTAAGCTCACTGTCACAGAATTGCATCAAATAGTGGCATCTTGGGGTCACAAAATCTCCAAAACAACCATCAGACGCTCTCTACATGCCAACAAGATGTTTGGGAGGCATGCTAGGAAAAAGCCTTTTCTCACTAACACTGACAAACGTAAACGTCTGGAGTTTGCCAAGCGGCACTGGGACTTCATCTGGGATCGTGTGCTTTGGTCGGATGAGACTAAGATTGAGCTTTTTGGCAACAAACACTCTAAGTGGATCTGGTGTAAAACAAAAGATGTGTATGCCGAAAAGTACCTCATGCCCACCGTGAAGTATGGTGGAGGATCTGTGATGCTGTGGGCCTGTTTCTCTTCCAAAGGCCCTGGGAACCTTGTTAGGGTGCATGGCATTATGAACGCTTTGAACTACCAGGACATTTTAAATAAAAACCTGATGGCCTCTGCCAGAAAGCTGAAGATGGGTCGTCATTGGGTCTTTCAGCAGGATAATGATCCAAAACGTGTGGCAAAATCTACACAAAAATGGTTCAGTCACAAACTCAAGGTCCTCCCATGGCCATCTCAGTCCCCAGACCTCAATCCAATCGAAAACCTGTGGGGTGAGCTAAAGAGGAGAGTGCACAAGAGAGGGCCCAGGATACTGGATGATCTAGAAAGATTTTGCAAAGAAGAATGGTCAAAGATCCCTCTCTCTGTGTTCTTCAATCTTGTGAAATGTTATAGGAGGAGATTAAGTGCTGTCTTGTTGGCAAAAGGGGGTTGTACAAAGTATTAACATCAGGGGTGCCAATAATTGTGGGACACATGATTTGAAGTTTTTATTTTTTTAAATTTAAAAAAAAAAATTTACCACCAAAGTAATGTACTTAAATAAAAGGTTGGATTTTTCTCTTTTTTTGCATTTGGATTCTATGTTGTTTAAAAAAAAGGGAGAATTTTTAAAAGTCCTCGACCACATCTTAAACAGGGGTGCCAATAATTGTGGAGGGCACTGTACATCACGATGATATCTGACCTTCTCGTCTGAGCTGCTTCAGCAGAGACTGACAGCTCATCAAAGTCAAAATGTTTGAGTCAGAGATGAATTCAAAGCGGGCTTATGTTCAGAAGCTGCAAGCCGAGTGCGAATCCCCGCACAACGCTTCAGTTAACGGTCATAAAGTGCGAGATAAGATATAGGGCTAAATAGCTAAACTAAACAGCTGTTTTAGATAGAAGTTTTAAACAAACGACTGAAACAATCAGTTTGCAAAGTATTAATCAAAGGCCAGCTTTGGGAAAGGAAATAGCTACAGGTCAAGATAAGCATCCTGTGCTCATGAGATAAAATTATGGATTCCTATTTACCACAGATATACTGTATTTTTTTTAGCTAATTACAGTGGATATAAGCTCAATTTAACAACAAACGCACCTATTAAACATATTGCCATTATTATTGTATAAATACAGACTAGGCTATATTTGTGTGCAGAATAGGCCTAATCGTTGAAACATTTCTCATTTAAGGCCATTCCTGTTTGGAACATGTGATTGTGTTTTGATCAAGTTTTGATAAAGCCTACATGTGAACAATAATCATATATACATTCTGCATTTCCATTTTGTATGTGGATCATTTATTGTAAAATTTAAACTGACATCTTGACAAAAAACTGTATGCAACTGCCCACAGACATGCTTCTCTATGATCACTTTTGGGACCTCGGTAGGCTATTTAGAAATTTCTGCATTGAACCCTGGGTGGAGACCATTTGTGCAAAAATATTTCATTAGCTGCTCACACATTAACTTTGTGCTCAATCACTGTTAAATATGAGGGGAGTCCTTGGAATTTTTTCCCCTGTAAGGGGTCCCTGGCACCAAAATGTTTGAGAACCCCTGCCCTAGGGTGTCCTGGTGCCACGTGCACTGATGCACACCCTTATGCTTGAACATGGTGTGACTTGAAAATGGTGTGAACAAACTGTGACTAGCACAGAAGTCCAATAACTGAACACCACTCGGGTTCAGGTCAGGGGGGCCTTTCTTTCCCTAGAGCTAGTTTCCGTGTCCAGGGATCGGGTTTTCGAGGCCCCCGCCTTCGACTGCCGCCCGGTCCTCTCAGAACCGGCCCCTTGCGGTCCCTCCTGCAGGTGGTGAGCCCCCGGGAAGGCGGACCCCACGTCGTTCCTTCAGGCTGAGCCTGGCCGGACCCCGTGGGGGGAGGCCCGGCCACCAGGCGCTCGCATACAAGGCCCAACCCCCAGTCTTGGCTCCAGGGTGGGGCCCCGGCTGCACCGTACCGGGCGACGTCATGGTACTTGTTTTCACTTCACTCATTAGGTTTTTTGAACCGCTCTTAGTTTAACACTTCGCCTAGGACCGGTTTTCCTTAGGCAGACCCTACCAGGGGCATATAGCCCCGGACAACATAGCTCATAGGGTCGTTTCGGGTACTCAAACCCATCCACCACGTTAAGGTGGCAGTGCAAGAAGGGGTTGATTAGAATCACTTTTTTCTATTTCAGATTATTCTCATGGGGATTTGTTATACCCTATATATACTGTACACATAATTGACTATATGAGTGGTTTTCTGTTTTGTTTCAATAAATATAATACCAATATACGGTTTGAATAATAACTACTTATTATGGGAGATGTCCATTTGGACCAACATGTGACAATATTTCAGGTGGGGATCATCAACGTTTGCTTCTTAGACGTCCTAAAGACTGTAAAAATACAAAAGTTAGAAAACATATATCAATAGGGTCCTTCCAGAGTTCCAGTGATCCAATGTCACCATTTTGTTTTTTCCATTTTTTGGTGGATATTTGAGTATTTATGCATCATCTAATCATGACTTAATGATGAATTTAGGGTCTCAGGTATGTCTACCTTAAGAGAGCGTGTCTTGTTCCGCTCATAGAGTGGGAGAATTCGTGGAATTTCCAGAGAGTTGGGGGCATCAAATCCAGGTTTCACCTCCTGTATCATAATTGCACCAGTCCAGTTCACCACATTTCAGCCATGAATGTTTGTCGTTATTTTGTTCAGATTGTCCCACTCGAGATGAAACACATTCCCTCACCATTAATAATAATAATTAAAGTATAATTAATTAATTATTAAGTATAATATTTTTTTTCAACCTAACAGAAACCTGGACAGACCAATATCTGCGTGTTAATGTGGGCTTCCATAATGCTACGTTCTTCACCAGGAAAGATCTTTCTAATTGTGTGTTTGTGCATCATGTAGGCTATGTATGTAGTTAGTTTAAAAATGTATGTTAAATAAAGCTCAAACTACCAGTGAATCCTAATTACTTGATGTGATTTTTAATTAATGCATATTTTTGAACACATATCTTAAAATGTAATATTTATTTAAAATATCTACATTTTATTTTTAATGTGCAACAATTGACGTTGGAAACAAGCAGTAATGTGCAACAAGCAACAATAATTTATATAGCCAGTTATGAAAAATGGAGGAGATTTATCAAATCGAAACCTAAAGGAGAAAAACAGAGTGCCTATGTAAATGCTTTTTTGCTTTTTTAGATATCCAGGGTGGCCACCAATATAGCCAGAAAAGACATATATGTGACAATATTTCAGGTGGGGATCATCAACATTTGCTTCTTAGACATCCTAAAAAAAAATACAAAAGTTAGAAAACATATCAGAAGGGCCCATAGAGGAGGAGTTCCAGTGATCCAATGTCACCATTTTTTTTTTTTACATTTTTTGGTGTTTATTTGAGTTTTTTATGCACTATACATCATCTAATCATGACAATCCTCATATCTATCAATTCCTCATGCAAAGATGAAGAGAAAATGGGGTAGATTGTGTCTGTAGGATGTATTGTTCAGATTCTATGTAGATGTAAAGTTTTAATTTTCCGCAGCCAAAAATCAAGCACAGCACAGACACAAAAGATGATACAAAAAATCACATATGGGACAATAATTTGCATAGGGAACATCAAAATTCCTATTCTAGACACCCTATGGATTACAAAAAAATAGAATCTCCAGAATCCTCCCCGGCGAGAATCCAGAAACATTAGAGCTCTACCCTTAGGCTGAATAACGCATAACATAAAACCGAATAACCATAAACCTCTGCCAAAAGTGTGTCTGCATGTGTTCAGCGATTAGAATATATTACGTTTACAAAAAAATTTCATAAAGTAGGCTTCCGCTAAAACCCAGAATCTGCCCTACTGTCATGAATCCACTGTCTCATTCTGGTGTTTTGTGTGTGTTATGGGTGTATGTGTGGGCGTGGTTACTGTCATATCCTTACGTTAATAATCCACTAGGTGGCACTCAAGCGCCTTAGCTGAGAGATATGTGCTGTAGTAAAAGAGTGAAGGAGAGTGAATGCTGTGCTTGTGCTTACATGTGCTTGCATGTTATTCTGCTTGTACATCAGTTATTAAAAAGTTTATTGAGAGAATTCTACTAGCTTGTGCTTCTTGTCATGAAGACATAACATAATTGGCGACGAGGATGGGATTTATTCTCACAAGATTTCCTGAGGATGGCATCAGTTAGTGCTCCGTTTCCCAGTCCATTTTTGCCTTGTCCCGGTGAGCCAGCTATACCACTTGTAACATGGCTGAGGATGTTTGAGAATTACATGCTAGTCATCAATGCTACTGGAGATTCCTGGCCAGAAGCCAGAAAACGGGCTTTACTTCTTCATTGCCTCGGAACTGAAGGTCAGAGACTATTTTATACATTGCCTGATACCGGTGACAATCTTGCATCTGCTGTTAAAGCTTTGAAGGAGCATTTCATTCCAAAACGAAATGTGGTCGTGGAAAGACATGCCTTCAGGAAACGAGTGCAGAGGACAGATGAAACGGTACTGCAATATATTGCTGCATTGAGAGATTTGGCAACTACATGTGAATTTGATGACAGTCTTGATGATATGCTGCGTGACCAGCTTGTAGAGAATATTGCTAACCCTCGCATTCGGGAAAGATTATTAGTGGAATCTAAATTGACACTAGAGACTGCAATTACAATTTCCATGCAGCTAGAGGCCGCTGATGCACAGGCAAAATCGATGACTACAAGTACTTCTGCTCCAGTACAAGCCATACATGCCACCTCTGTGTCTGGACGACAGCATTCAAAGGCCAAATTCAAAACACGTACCTCATCAAAACCTCATACTGCTTCTTCAGCTCGGACATGCTTTCGCTGTGGGTCCACTGGACATCTTGCAAACTCACAGAACTGCCCTGCTGCATCTGCTAAATGTAAAAATTGTAATAAGACTGGACATTTTGCACGTGTCTGCCGTTCTGCTCCTACTCGTTCAGTGCATTCAGTTGAATTACCAGAGGTTTGTGTTCTCCATCTACCTGGAACATCTGATCGCTTGATGTGTGATGTAACTATAAATGCTATGTGTGCTGTTACACCTGTGTCTCTTCAACTCACAGTCGACTCTGGTTCATCAGTGTCCATTCTGCCGAAACAATTGTATGAACAGCACTTTCGCACTGTGCACAAGCAATTTTCGCACAAGCACCATCTGCCCGTTTAGTCACTTACTTGCAAGAACCAATTTCAGTGCTTGGATGTTTACCTGGAACAGTGTCTAAATATGGCATTACCTGCCCTGCACATTTCTTCATTGTTGACAATGGCACAGCCTTGTTAGGCATGGACCTGATTAAGGGACTCCAGCTTCGATTTGACGGAAACACTGTGCTGCCGCCACCACAATCCGCTTCAGTTTGTGCCCTCTCCACTCCTCCGTCACAGCGTACTGCATTGGGCTGTGTAAAAAACTTTACACACAAGGTAAACATTTCTGACTCTGTTCCTCCTGTCAGACACAAATTGCGTCGCTTACCTTTTTCTGTCAGAGATGCTGTTTCCGCCGAACTGGAATGACTCTTGCATGCTGGTGTAATTGAAAGAATTGACTCCTCTCCATGGGTTTCACCAATTGTTGTGGTCCAAAAGAAAACAGGGGGCATCCGCATGTGTGTGGATCTGCGAGGGCCCAACAAGGCAGTTATAGTAGACAGCTACCCATTGCCACACATGGAGGAGTTGATGACATTACTGCAAGGTGCAACTGTATTTTCAACTATCGACTTAGAAAGTGCATATCATCAGGTACCTCTTCATGACGACAGCCGGGACCTAACCGCATTCGTTACGCACGAGGGTCTCTTCAGGTTCCGCAGGGTACCTTATGGTTTGGCATCCGCTCCATCTGCATTCCAAAAGATGATGGTTGTCATTCTAAAAGGACTCCAGAATGTTGCGAACTATCTAGATGACATCATCGTGTGGGGACGCTCGCTACAGGAGCATGATCAAGCACTAGAGAATGTGCTGCAACGTCTCAAAGATGCTGGGTTGGTGTTGAATGAGTCTAAATGTCAATTCAGAAAAAAGAGCTTGAAGTTTTTAGGACATATGGTGACATCACAGGGTATTCAGCTGGATCAGGAACATCTCTCTGCAATAATCAATGTACCTGCGCCATCAGATGCTGTTCAGTTACGTTCCCTGCTGGGTCTTCTCTCATGGTACAAGTTCATTCCTAATTTCGCTTCCGTAGTGATGCCTCTGCGTGCTTGCCTGAGAGATGAGAGTGGATTTCATTGGTCCGATGAAGCTCAACAAAGCTTAGCTGAAGTCAAAAAGCTACTTGTAAACAGTCCTGCTCTTGCACTGTTTGACCCGGGGCTGCCAGTGGTCATTTCTACTGATGCGTCTGCCTACGGACTAGGTGGTGTCTTTGCACAAATAAGCACTGATGGTCAAGAACGTACTGTCGCTTTTGCATCCAGAACACTCACCCCAGCTGAACAAAAATACTCCACTGTCGAAAAGGAGGCTCTGGTATGCATTTGGGCAGTGGAGAAGTGGCGGACATACCTGTGGGGTCGCAAATTTACTCTGCGGACTGACCATCAAGCCTTGACGACGTTACTGACCACAAAAGGGACTGATAGAGCTGGCATGCGCATAGCTCGGTGGGCTGCTCGGTTGCTCTGTTTTAATTACACTGTTGAGTATCGTGCTGGATCTCAAAATTACACTGCAGACTGTTTGTCCCGCCTGCCCCTGCCTCTGACTTCGGATGCTGAGCCAGATACAGAGCCCGAATTTGTTGCTTTCCTGTCCACTGGTCCGACTGCCATATCTCAGGATGAATTTGCTGCTGCCTCTGCTAGTTGTTCGGAACTCTCTGCACTTCGCACACAAATTGCCCGTGGATGGCCTCCATCTTCTGCTGCTCTGGATCCTGTTCTACGCCCATATTACAAACTGAGACATGAGTTCAGTGTGCAAGCTGATTTTGTGTTTAGAGGGTCTAGACTGGTGGTACCTGGAGAACTTCGTGAGTCACTGATTCGCATTGCACATGAAGTCCATCAGGGGATTGTAAGAACAAAGCAACGCCTGCGTGACATGTATTGGTGGCCCAGAATGGACACACTTGTGGAACAAAAGATTACCGCTTGTCAGTTATGTCTTTCCCTGGACAAAACTGCGAAAACCTCTGCTGTGCCCCTCCAGCCTGTTCCTTTACCATCTGCACCTTGGGAAAAGCTGGGAATAGACATTGTGGGTCCTTTCGAGACTGCTGTCTGGGACTGTCGATATGCTCTGACACTCACTGACTACTATAGTAAATGGCCTGAGGTAGCCTTTACTGCATCTATTGCAACAAAACAGGTGACTGCTTTTCTTACCTCCGTCTTCAGCAGACATGGGAACCCGACCACTCTGGTGAGTGATAATGGGCCTCAGTTTACTTCGCCAGAGTTCGCTGCTTTCCTGAAAAACAGAGATATTAAGCACATTCGCACATCAGTGTATCATCCGGCTGCGAATGGAGCTATTGAACGCTTCCACAGAGTTCTGAAAAGTACAATTCAATCAGCAATCCTACAATCAGCACCATGGAAAGAAACAGTAACTGACTTCCTGCAAATCTAGCGTGCTACACCTCATGCTGTGACAGGTGTTTCCCTCTTTGAATTGCTTCATGGGAGGAAAATGCGTACTCGCCTCAATGTTCTGAAACCCTCCCCTTCTGGCCGTGAACCTAAACAACTGCAGAAGCGTGTTTCAGCACGTCAGGATGTCATGAAATCTCGTTTCGATAACAAGCATCGAGTGCATCATTCTTCTTTCCGAAAAGGGGATAAAGTGCGTATAAAAAAGTCAGTGCATGTACCAAAAGGACACCCACGATTCACTCCTCCAGTTGAGGTTAGAGAAAAAGTTGGTCCTTACACCTACCTCTTGGATGATGGAAAGAAGTGGCATGCATCGTGTCTTGCATCTGTGCCGACTTATGCAACAGATAATAGACTGACCACAAATGCAGAAAACCTGATTCCTTCTCAAGTTCCACTGTCTGGAAACTCAGTGTCTTCTGATGCTTGTTCACGTGGGACACGTCAAAGACGTGAGCCAGGTTGGCTAAAAGATTATGTTTATTAGTCTCAGAAATTGACATGGACTTTTGCACACATTACACACGCATAAATATTCAAGGACTGAATAGCAGTTGAGTAGTTTTGTTCACATTGTTTAAATGCACCTTTGTATTCATGTAATGTGTTGCTTAGTGTATTCTTATACATGTGAAATTGTTGATACATTACGGGTTGGATTTTCTTTGTTTATATTTCATGTCAATTGTTGGCTACAGGAAGAATTCATTTAACTAAGAAGGGAAAATGTCATATCCTTACGTTAATAATCCACTAGGTGGCACTCAAGCGCCTTAGCTGAGAGATATGTGCTGTAGTAAAAGAGTGAAGAAGGAGAGTGAATGCTGTGCTTGTGCTTACATGTGCTTGCATGTTATTCTGCTTGTACATCAGTTATTAAAAAGTTTATTGAGAGAATTCTACTAGCTTGTGCTTCTTGTCTAACACAGTCTCATCCCAAAAAGTCATATAACTGACGTTTTGGGACGTATTTTGACCATACGTCAATATCCGCCTTTTAAGGGCCCCCTTAAACGTCGGTAGATGGCGATCCCGGGCCGTCATACAACTGACGCTTTACCTTTAACGTCAGTTAGGTGACGGGTTAGGTTTAGGGTTAGGTTTAGGTATGGGGTAGAGTTAGGATCCCATAACCTCATCTACCGACGTTTAAGGGGGCCCTAAAAAGGCGAATATTGACGTATGGTCAAAAGACGTCCCAAAACGTCAGTTATATGACGTCTTGGGATGAGACCGGGTTGTCTTGTCATGAAGACATAACAGTTACCAATCCGATTTATTGTCAGCACCATAGGTAGACGGTCATCCGCTCCGCTCAGTGTAAATATGGTGAAATGAGCTGCCAGCGGATTAAATTAATCATATCTCACTGAATACTGAACTGATTTTCACGCTGTTTTTTTTTTTTTTTTTTTTTTTGTAGCTATGATACAGGACACATGGTTCGGTGTATTTTATTATCCATAGTAGGCTTAACAGTAATATAATATTCTGATAAGATTTAAAGTGACCAGACACAATATGTATGATGAAGGATATAATGTATTTTATAAATCACACACTATAAATATGATAAAGAAGCAGAAACAGATAGTTGCAGTAAAGTAAGATATTTTAATAAGTTGAAGAAACAATTTATGATTTGTGACACGCACATTCACACAAATAGACACTCTCTCTCTCTCTCTCTCTCTCTCTCTCTCTCTCTCTTCTCTCTCTTCTCTCTCTCTCTCTCTCTCTCTCTCTCTCTCACACACACACACACTTTCACACACACAGAACACAGCCACCAGTAATAAAAATTGAGAAGAAGCTTTTCAAAGTGTTTGCATCAGTAATTTCTAAAAATTAAATTCAGACAACTTTAAGCCATACCTTTATTGTATGTGGATGTGGGAGGGGAAAATGTTGAGACTAAAGCCCTATTCGGATTAACTTTACAAGGGTAGATGGAGTAAGTTAATAATTTAATTTTACTACAGTAATATCAATAGCCAAATCACATGTGATAAGATATAGGTTATCAATAAAACTAGAAGTTGGAGGGGTAACTCAATTTGCGCATCGCTGTCATGCGTGTATTACATTGCTTCCTGATATCATGTGCGCAAACACAAATAACATATACAACAGGGCAGTTGAATGCTTATCTGATAACCTAGAAGCTCTTGTAATTATTACTTTAACAGTTACCCCACCTCTCCATGCCGGGTGAACACCAGCTGATGCAGTAAACAGCATTTCACAATGATTTCAGTACAGTAATAGCAAATATCCTTGCTCCTTCTCGATTATCTGGTAATATTCTATTCACAAAATACAACCAATAGTATGGTAATGTTAAGACTGGTGAAAAGCCCTGTTCTCTTACGAGAGGTTCTCTCGTATTGCGTAAGCTAGCTTACGCTACGGGAAAGATTCATCTTTGCTGAGAAGTTGAAGCCAAAAAATTATTCCATAATTTTGTAATCATTGTCAACGCAGTATCTCTGAGGCAGACCATGAGCGGGGCTAGCTAGCAGCTCATTGGTTCGCTCAGAGAGAATGCATGAACCTATGGGAGAGCGGCGCTGAGCCCGCGGCCAATGAGCGGACGGCGCTCGCTCATTGCGTCAGAGCCCGCCGAAAGGGGCGTGGCTACAGTGTATAAAACTGGCTCTCCCAGGCTCGGTAGTTGATTCTTCATCATTCAGCGAGCTACACGCATCCGCTGTCCTGGGAAGAAGCCGCCGTCGTCGAAGAAGGCACCTTCTAGCGAGCTCCAGAGACTGAGGAAGCCGGCCGTCTGCCACCTTCAGCCGTCCTGCAAGCTAGCGC